GGAACGTGAAGGAAAAATTAAATTATATTATTCATTATATTTGGTTTTTCTGCGCTTTGCTTTTTGAAGATAAGTGCACATTGTGCTTGTACCAGTTCAGCTTTTTGCTTGTCATATCCTTCGAGTGCTGTTTCAATTACAGGTATGATGTCTTCAGGTTTTAATCTTTTGTTGCTGATATTGAAGTTCATCCCTTTCATCAGTACACTTTCCTCTGCTTCTGTTAGCTTTCTGTCTGACAAGTTTACAATCCAATTGGCTTTAGTTACTTGTCTGTCATTCGGAGTTTTCGCTATCATGAGTTTATTAAATTTTTTGATTTGTTTCTCCTTTGTTTTTTCATAAGTGGTTTCTTTTCGTTTTTGTGCAACTTGTAGTAGGCTTTCATACTTTTCTTTTTCAATTACTTCTTTCAAATTTTCTTTTACTTCATTAATATCTTTCCTTATCGTGAATAGCTTTTGTATAATTCCACGTAGGTTTTCTTTGATGCATGCTTTTGAGGCATGTGTGAGCGCTGCATTTGCTTTATCAGTAGATATTGGTGATTGTAATTTCATGTATACAGGGATAATTCCATTTTTAAGGCATCTGATGTTGAAAATTCGATGGTTCATTCTTTCATTTTTTTTACGAAATAATTACAAAATCATCCACACATTTTAACATTTTACATATATATATATATATATATATATATATATATATGTTGATATAATGTTACTTATCAATCATTCGTGTTCAATTCTTAAAATAAGTTTGCTATTAATACACCTAAAATGATTACAATATTTATGCATCAAATGTTCTCTTGCTTTACCACTCTTGTTTCCCTTATAACACTCAATTATTTAGCATAATCTATTCTTTGATAATACGAATTATAATACTGATTATACTCTTATCATATACAGTTTGATGTACTTTACGGCTCCCTGTAATACTAACTACCCGTCTGCAGTATTGTTAATCAAATGCTAAAATTTTGTTGGTTCTGTTAATATTTTTTATCATATGTGTAGACAGGTTACTTTGCAATGAGAAATGTTTACTATGTATAAGACTGTTATGATAATTTAGTACACTAAGTCCTGCCAACCGACCTTACCTTCAGTTCATATTACCTACATTGAACCTTAACCATAGTGTTCTGCTGAATCTTGCTCCACTATTCACAAAACCTATTCTTTCTGCTCTTTAAGGTTTCAACTTCTTATAAAGTAATCTGTTCATTAGGATGCATGCATGCATATATAATATGGTCATAAAAATGTACGCGGAGACCTATTGGAAGCACTCATTAAGAAAGCTAGGGAGATGGAATATGGGGTACGAACATGTCTGGTACCAAGCAGTATATTTGCGGTAGCCATAATAATCATAGTCTCAGAGCTTAACATCAAAATAGGAGGGAGGGTGGCGTTAGCTGATCAGTAGATATGGTGGGGGTCACTAAGGTGAATCACACCATTCTGCAGGAACAGCAATACGCAATTTGAAGGCTCGAGATATTTCTGATTTTTATGAGGGATTAGATATTTATCTTGAAAATGATAATAATGAACGCCTAGACAGATCATGGTTCTGCCTTTAAATATATACCGTTTACTCAGCCTATTGTTGAGATGAGACCACGCGGGATCTGCACAGATTTATGGGGCATCTTATAAATTAACTTGCTATCCATTGTCGGATCTTTAAATACCACTTCACAGTGTCTTATCTCATTCATTTTCTAATAGAATCTTTACTTGATTCTCATTATATTCCATTAAACCTAACATTTTATAGCTCTTTATGAATTTGATTCGACTTATTCTATTCCTATTCTCTGGAGGGTACGGTTGTGCACCAAATAGACAAGGTAGGAAATAAAAACAACTGGCTTGAAAATAATTGTATTAAAACCAAAAGTGAACATCATGATGGTAAGACATATATGCGTAGCATTACACATTGCAAATGAACATTGTCGGTCTACGGATTAATTACTTAACCATTCTATTTCCTATATAGATGTATTTATTTATGATATATTACACTTACTTAATTTATTACACTTTAATGATTTACCTTAGCACTTTAACGTTTATAAACAGCTTTCAATCCCTTCTGAAATGGCATGCATTTTCATGTAAATATATATTTATATGGAAATATTAATTATTATTATTATTATTATAAATGAGGATAGGAAACTGAGATCATAGTACGACTGCTGCAGTCTTGGTTGTCTATCTGAAGCTGCGGTGAACTATAAATACCCAGTGAAGCAGGCCTAATTGCAAACAGCTGACCTGCTGAAGGCTGCCGCAATGAAGTAAGATAGTGTGGTAGCTGAATTGGAGACAGAATATCATATCCAGGAGCGTTTGTTTCCATTCCGCACGTGTTATGAGAACGTGGGAGCGATTGCGTCTAAGAGGGAATGTCTTAAGCTTATTCTGATTATGAGAGATGACGTTCGTCATAATCAAGGTGAATGGATAACACGCAACACAAATAATATGGTATGATTCACCTTTCAAAAGCTACATAAGGAAATTATGTGCATACGCCATTATGATAAAACGATAAATCTTATCTACACACCAAGAAAGAGCGCTTCAACAGAATGTCCCAATCCTATTTCAAAGACTGGACTTGTTGTGAAATCGTTGTTTTCTCTTGGAAACTTAGACTCATTGACAAATTAGATAGTACTAACCACATGGTTTTACTCTCCGTCGCATACAATTCACATGTGAGATATGACGAATATTCTAGGGAGGCTAGAGGCTAGCGGAATTCGACTTGACGCGTTTACATATATACACAGAATAGTGGAACTGAGGTGGAAGATAGGATGTCACTCGTGAAGTTCTGTTGTTCTATCTCTGCATTGATCCATATGAGTCATCGTAATGTTGCTTCTGTTTACGTTCTGCATGCTGCTGTAAACGTTCTTTGTTTCACTGAATTTCTCTGGTGCTTCTGCCGATTGCTTCATATGAAATACATGCAGTATCTCTCTCGGTATATATGTCTGTGAATTTATTATGTAAGGCATACACGACAACCGAATTATTCTTGAATGAGATAGGGGGCATATAGGATGAAGCATGAGTCGTAGTTAAACACTTCGTCAAGTCGTGCATCAAAAAAAAGACAATTTAAAAGTGTATTTTATTACATCAATGCTGAATTACAAATGATGAGTTTTCCCTAGACGTCCAGATATTGGAGATGCTTTCTTACTGTCGTAGACAACTATTCAATCCATTTAAAGGTTTCGCATTGAATCCTAAGCTGTATTCAAAAGAGAGGAAAGTGAGTTGTAAATTTGTAAGGAACAAGCTTCAGCGTTTTTATTGTTTTTGAATTTTAGTCCGACTCCAACGATAAGCAGTAAGACAACTCTCCGAATTCCAATAATATTATTGTTAAATGTGTCATTATAAGAGCTAGTTATATGACCGTGAAAGGAGCAGTATCTAACTGTAAGACAAGCTAAGCCAGAGAACGCCATACGAAGTTAAATATGCGTCCAAAAAATCATGGTTGAATTAAGACTAATATGGACAGAAACATGTGAGTGGATGGCGTTGAGATGCTAATCAGGCATATGGACATGAAACATTAGGCTCAAGGGGGTTATACATTTCCGCGTTCTACTATTCGTACATCTTTCATTCCTATCCAAATCAAGCAGTATACATAAACACCTTAGCTTCAAGAAAACTGCTAGCAGTCATGTATTTTGTGAGCATGTCATACTCGCGTAAGTCTATTAAACAGGATCACATTTTTCTGCTTGCCATATCTGCTTGCTTGATAATGACCGAATTAAGTAATCAACATGCGTAGGATATTTCGAATGTTTCCGTAGTCTCTATATTCGACCTCTATTTGAAGTAAGTTTATCACAAACATCTTTGAAAATACAAGCTTTACAGCTTTACTCATTCAGTGTAACTTCCTTCCAGATTGCAGCCTGAATTATTCTTATTTTTTATCTGTATTATAGCTTGATGCCACACCGTATTTTCAGTAAAAGTATGGAATTTTTAGTATGTGATATTGGTAGCCCAGATTTTGCAGGCCGAGCAAAGATATCGGGTTTGCGTCGGCAAGGAATCGAACCCCGGACCATGCGCTTGGTCGGCGAAAGCTGTAACTACCGTGCCACCTGCGCACAGGATAGAATGAATCGTTGGGTTAACTGTCAACTTTCTCCACAATTATCATTAGTGTGTGGTTAATTTATCGTTGCTTTTGGAAAACGAAATTTAAATAAATAAATTCTGGAGAAGTTGCCTCCTACATCTCCTGATGTTTAGGATAAACTTGACGTTTTTTTCCTCCAGTCTGCCACTTTTCAGTGTGTCAGTGAAACTTATGAGGATTTTCAACAGAGTTAACAATCATAGCAACAACACTAGTGGTACCAGGCTTTCAAAATGAATAGAAATAACTTATGTAGGAAATGGGTATTTCAGAATGTCATTACCAACGCAGTAATTTATGAACTTACTATCTCAAATGACAACGTAGTTCATTTAATCTTATTTGAAATTCGTTGGTAGCAAATGGACCTTGTGACCAAAGGCGTTCGGCTATCGCAGCACCATCAGGCCTTTTTAAATAGATAAATGAGGTGAGAAGAATATATATGTAAAACAATCAACAATATGAACTTTCTGACCATCCCCTTTAAGGTGATTCAATTCCTTGTAATTATATAAATAAATAAATTTATTCTCATAGTACAGTACATGAGAGACGCCAGTTTACAGGTATCATCAAATTGTTACAGAAATACAACCATATTATTCAGTCACAATTTACAGTCGATAGCAAAATATGTTTTACATGTACGCTGGAGATTATACATACACTGGATAAATGTTAATCCCAGTAGTATAAAACAGCCTTTTCACTTATATACAACCATTTCTGTGCACAGTTGGAAAAATCCGCTAGATTGTCAGTGAGTGCAACACACCAGGAAATACAGAAGTATTGTCTTCGCATTAACAAAAAAAACCAGGTCTTTGGTGGATGGATTATAAGTGCCTGGGAAAAAATATGTCTTGAAGTCAATTTTAATACATAACTTTGTTGTGTGCAGCATTCTTGAACTATAGTTCATTGATGTGTTATTTTGAAATCAGTGATATGTTTGTCTCATTTAAATAAATAAATAAATTTATTCTCATAATACAGTACATGAGGGACACCAGTTTACAGGCACCATCAAATTGTTACAGAAATATAAACATATTATCCAGTCAGAATTTACAGGAGGGTGGATAAAAGGTGTGCGTGTTGAATTCTGTCGCTTCTTGGTAATGATGTATCAGGATTATTGAAGCGGTGAGGATGGAAGATTCGTATTGTCCGACAGCGCATCATTACTTTTCTCGTGTGCCACGCTCCTGCATTTAATAAACGGATGCTACAAAAGTTAATCATATTGTGGTTTTCAGCAGCCAGTTTTGCGCTGACTGAGTGGAAGGAAAGATTCACAGTTCCCCTTAGAATCGTTATGCGGATAAGACTCTTCAGCATAACTGACTCACTTGTGACTGTTTTCTTCACTATGATCTCAAGTGTGACGCCTAAATTGGATCTAACTAAATTCCAAAATATTTCAAGCAATCAAATGAACCTTTGCATGGAAATACGCATTTCGTCTTTACGCCACTACTCATTATGTTTATATTCACATTCCATGAAATCATTCCTACTCTATTCCATGATAATTTCAGCTTCATTTACGCGCGAGCAAGCCTCCTCACTAATCAGAGTACATCTTCATTCATCATGAACGTTATCTGTCAATGACACATTTTCAACATTTCTAATAAAGTAGACGTTACAACTTACCATGAATGCATAATGAGATTTGACTCATCCACGTGTTCTGTATATACAACGGCTTCTCCACCAATAATCAGATTTCGTTCTTCCTCAGTGGCTTTGATGGTTTTAAAAGACAGGAAGAATTACTTAATAAGGATAATAATAGATGTGACACAACTTATTGTTTGTTACATTATCAGTGATGAGTAATCGCAACATGACTAGTAGTTAGTGCAAATGTACTTGTAATAATTGCAGTAGGCAAATAAAGGTGACAAGTGTACAAATGCTGACAGCTATAAGTGTATCGACGGAGAATTTTAACAAATTAATAATAATCATGCAAATCATATGAAGATGGAAGTACTCACATAATTAAAGTAGCGGTTTTACAAGCGAGGTCGTGTCTAGTATAACTGCAAAGGCGTTGACTTGTTTTCAACATCAAAGCGCATTATCAGTTGCGGAAAGGGCAACGAAGAGGAGTGATGTTTACTCACCCAAGTTTTCAAACTTCGTATCTCCATATAATGACTAGGTGGAACCAATTCAGAAGCTCTGGAAACCAACCGGGTGCCCTCAAAGGAAAAACTAATGCCACCATACCAGAAAGTTAGGAAGGGAATCCGGGCGCAAATAATCAGCCAGAATCCTAATGCCTGGAAAATATGCGGAATGCAACCTACATTGATCAAACATGCACTAATGAGATGTTCAAGTAGCATAACTCTTCAGGAATGAGTTGAGTAACATAAAGTACATCTTGTTGGTAGTAAATAAAATTCTCCAAAGAATGTAAGAGACGTGAAAAGTGATTACAGTGCAATGGGAGTGCGCCTCTGGTACTCTTCATTGAACTGGAAATCAGGGAATGGTTACCAGTAGCGGTGAAAAGTTTCGCTTTTGTTATGGATAGAAATTTGAGTAAAAATCAGACTGAGCAAAGTTATATGCGGTCAGCTATCATAGGGAATTACGGCAGCGTTAAGTAGTCAGAAGTGTTTTTTCATTTTCGTTTATTTTATTATTTTGGATTCTCAGTGGAACATAGAGCTTCATGCCTGGTACCGGAAGTCTCGATAGCAATGGCGTTTGCACTCTTAAGAGATAGGGTTGCTACTTTAATGCCCAACCATCCCACTTGACTGGAATTACTATTAGTGAAGCGAGGTTAAGGAGTCATTCGGCCAAAAATTGAGCACCGAAACGCGTGTATGGCTGGCGAAGCAATATTTAAACCAAACGTGAAGCTACAGGAAAAACTCAAAATGACAAAGTGTTTCAACCCCCTGAGTCGTAATAATGAAGATTTATCTTTAGTACATACCGTTAAATGCTGTTGGATCACATTCATAGTATTTAATCCAGTTTGTAGGACTACTTCTGCCAGTGAATAACCAACATGACGACAATATAACTCGATAACCAGCAGATGTTATACTTTTGACAAGCCCTGTCCAAACGCCTCCCTTCCATACTTGAATTACAGTGGTTGTAGTAGGCTAAATTACAAAATCTAAAAATGATTAGTTAACTCAAAAATTGGGACGTGATTATTTGATACGAGGCATGAAACTGGCCCGAATAGCAGATTTCAATGCTCTGTTCTAAATTTATACAAAACAAACAAGAGAGAAAATCCTTCTCACTGATAGAGGACAGATGTGATAGCCCCATTACTTAGGCCAGGAACTCAGCGTCACAGGCATAACACAAGCCTGATGACACTTAGTTCATCTTTGTATGGGGGTCTATTTGTCTTTGCTTTTTGCCCACCGATGAATCTCATTTTGTCTGATGTTGATATAACGATGATTTGTAAGTTTTCGCTTCTTCTTCTGTTTCTATCCCGGTCATTTGAGAGTTTATTTACCATTGTGATATATGAAAGTTGAAGTGAACATTCCGAAATGAAATGAAATCCCCTTCCTCCAATTTAACAATGAAAGTAATCAAATGGGCATTCAACCGGAGGCTTGCTTATAACTTGGGCTACCAAAAACTTCCATCTATTGCATATATTTATACCCATTCAGTTTATTTTAATGGGATAAGATAGGACCTCTTTCGGTATTGCCTTCTCCGGCGTGTATTCAAAATGTTTACAAGCTTCTGATTTACAAGTTCCACCTAAACTCCAGGAATGAATTGACAGTGGGTGGGAAGGTGTGCGTCGGTGGCATAGCGGTTAGGACGCTCACCGAGCATACACTCGTTTTAGAGTTCGGTCCTAGGCCAACGCAAACCTAATATCAATGATTAACCAAATAAATTTGGGCCACCGATATCACATGCTGAAAATTCAATACTTGTACAAAAACACTGTGTGGAATCAAGCTATAATCGAAAATTAAAAATTAAAATTATATGGAACAACTTCTTAAATTCGGTCCTTGGGTTTCAAAATGTACTTCTGAACATCCAGTAATTGGCTTCCAGCCAGATATCGTGGATTTTTGAAAGAGACAAGGCAGCTCTATGAAAATGTAACGGGTTTTGCTTCAGCTCAGAGACCATTGTGTCACAGGATACATCATCAATTAATATTTTACTTGAAGATACTGTAGGAAGGGAAAATATCATGAAATAAGCTCCTCCGAAAATTCTGTACATTCTGTAAATACTGTCCAGAATAGAGACGCTACTATTATTGTAGTTAAACAAGTAAAGAGCATCATGTCCATCCGAAATCGCTCTCCCAGTCGAATATTTTTCTCTGAATATACCCAAGATTACTCTTCACCTACACTGAGGTCTCAGAAGGATGAAATGTAATAGAGCTCAAATCGACGAATGTTACCTAAGAATTGGAAGACCGATGAACCTTTGCTACTCCTCTGACAAATGTTTGATAATGATTATTGGGAATCAAGAGACCAGTGTTGGTTGATCGTCAGTTGTGTCAGTAGTCACCCTTAAAGTAGGAGACCCAATTTGACACAAATAACCAGGTTCTACTTAGAGCTAAGTGACTTAAACGTACCACCTTGAAGCAGTCAGCTTAAATTTATGAAACAACAATCAAACATTATACAACTGAAGCCATTTGCATGATAAGGTACTCAAACCATATGGAGAACATTATGTATGGACAAGTTACCTACGAGAAATGATAAACTGTAGGTGAATAACCATGTGGAGATATTATTGGAAAGGAGAAGGGTTTACTTACACGATACCCATCCAGATACACTCCATCCCAGAAAACTGGTGTTATAGGATGCCCCTCTGATTGAACTGATTGAATGGCTTCAGTGAGTTGATCAAAGTAATATGATTCAAGTTTTCTAAAATCACTACCGAAGTTGTTTTCCTCCATAAACTTCAAAATATCAGGATTCGATTTCCTATTTTGTTAAAAAAACAGTTTCAAAGATTTTCTCGAGTGTGAAAATATTTTGTTTTTTACAGTGGTTATTTAGCCCTATTGTTGCATATTGTTGTTTATGTCCTATAACGACACGGGAGATTTGAGCTGCAAATTATAACAGTGATTCTTTCACTGTTATTTCCAGTATGCGTTTCCTCTCCTGTTAGCTGTCAGACGTACCATAGAGTGACCAGTAGCAGTTAATTCGAAAGATATCAGAAAGAATTTGAGTTGATCAATAATTTAATGCCATTTGGCTGTGTGATGGAAAGTGCAATAGTCGAAATAAATCTGTCATTTATTGTAAGCTGAGGAATGCAAAACTATACTACTGAGCTAGAATTTGATGGATTCTAGAGATGCGCTGTACAAGACCTAACAGTGTGTCAAGGTCTTTGATGGAATAATTGAACGACAATTCTCACTAATGTTTTAGAAATTGAAGAGCAACAAAGTCAGGTTACGGGTAATGCGGAAAAATAATTACATCGAAAACCTTACACCACTCAACCTGGACAGAAGCATAAATAACTGGTCATTTGCGAGTAATGACATCAGCAGATGTGTGCAAAATATGGGTCAGCCATGGTTTCATGACACTTCAACTAGTAGGCCTTCGTTGAAGTGTAGATATCCAGAGCATTGCCCTCATTGAACTAGAAATGTATGTTCCCTATCTTTGCTTCAGAGATTTTTCATGAATTATTTAAAAGAGTTTTTTTCTATAAGAACCACTGAAAAATGTGTTCTAAACATCATTTATAATATTTGGACCGCTGATACTACTGGGCATTTTTTCATCTGTAGAGTTCAATTTTTCAAGAAGTATTGAACTTTTCGTGTTCCTCCGAACAACAGTGTTTGAAATGTGACAGAGTGCGCTCGAACATTACAGTCCATTTTAATATAGTCAAGATGTAAGATTTTGTAGCGATTTGGGCGAAGAAACATAAACTTTCAATTAATATCTGACACCTCATATACAGTGGACAAATAAAAATTGAATACTAACTAAGGTATGTTGAAGTACTTGTCCAACTCATCTTTGCGAATGTTTTCATTGTTTGTTTGTTTGTTTGTTTTTATCACTTCTGTCAGAATGTGATTTATATACATACGTATTTTAGAATAAAACTTTCATGAACAGAGAAAGGGATCTGAGTTGATATAAATTAGCTTAATTTAGCATTGTAGTTATATTCGTCTTTATTCATGAAATAGTTTTTTTCACATTCTCAAAGAGTTTGTCTTTCTTTAACACCAATTCAAGTATTGTGTATCAAGTTCAAAAAGTAAACGTGAATTGCACGATGCACCAGACTCTCTTTGTAAAGGTGTAACTTCTTTGTTACACTTAAAAAATGATTCACGACTTCTCCATTGAACAACAAATAGAAATAATGCTTTACATAAGCCTAGAAATTGGCCTACTTGTGTTGTACCCGCTATAACATGACCACCATGACGTGTTACAATATTCACTAAATTATTAATATACTTAGTGAATAGAGTAGAGTTTTTAATTTCATATATATCCAATTGTACATAACGATAACCTGGCCATGATTGCATTAAATTACATAATGGAACTATATAAAGTTCATGACCACCATAATGATGTGGTTCATGTAATTCAACTTTAGATTCAATACACCTTTTAGCCTCTTCAACATGATCAAATGTTAAAATACCAATATTTTAATTTCTTGGAAATACGTCTTCCGCACAACAAATATCTCTAGCAATGCCTAAAAATTCTCCGTTCCCATAAGCGCTCGCATCACAGGATTATGAGCTATCATAGTGTTACGAAATTTTCCGAATGAAACTTAATCCAGATTGTAGTAGATTAAGATCATACATTGACATGTATTACGTTTAATATTCAAGTTATGCAGGCTTTTCAAGTATTGGTTTTTTGTAGGGATTTTGTTTGATTGCATGGAGGATTTAATCATGAGCTGACATCAGTTAGAGAACCACTGGAAGACCTGGGAGTACTGGACAGCCGTTTCGTCCTAGTTTGGGACTCCTCAGCAGTACGCACCCACCGGGATTCGAACCCAGGACCTTCTGGTTACAAGGCGAGCTCGTAGACCATTGAGCCACTGGGAACCGATCCAATGGTCCTTGAATTCTAACTTCTGCCAGTTCACGACATAGCGCGACCACTTCGCAATGTCTTCTTCGATGAGTTACTGCCTCATCTTCGACCTGCTGTACCCTACTGGTCACGGCTTCCCACTAGAACCCCAGGTTAACTGCCTGAATAGGGCCAGTCACTAGTGAGCATCAGATGAATTTTCAAGTATTGGTTTTTGTAGGGATTTTGTTTGATTGCATGGAGGATTTAATCATGAGCTGACACCAATAGGGTACAGCAGGTCGAAGATGAGGCAGTAACTCATCGAAGAAGACATTGCGAAGTGGTCGCGCTATGTCGTGAACTGGCAGAAGTTAGAATTCAAGGACCATTGGATCGGTTCCCAGTGGCTCAATGGTCTACGAGCTCGCCTTGTAACCAGAAGGTCCTGGGTTCGAATCCCGGTGGGTGCGTACTGCTGAGGAGTCCCAAACTAGGACGAAACGGCTGTCCAGTACTCCCAGGTTTTCCAGTGGTTCTCTAACTGATGTCAGCTCATGATTAAATCCTCTATGCAGGCTTATTGCTGCTTCACATTCTGGACACAATGGAGGTTTAGTATTTTCCATAAGAGTAGACACTTTCAGAGAATTCGTGTATAACCGCTAATATTCTGTTTTAAATACCACAATGAGCACTACTAATAGTTTTCAGTCATAATCCAGCTCCGAGGAGTGACATCAGAAGTTTTCCGTTTCACTCATTTATTATACATGGATTAAGCATTTAAATTTCAAGATATGGCTGCTGCTTATTCAGAGTCTCAGACTATCGACTCAGCCAACCAATGAACAAAACGCAGGAAAATCATGAATGTCTGATAGATTTCTTCGAATTTTATCGATGAACGCATGTCACTCTCAACAGTCATTTCAGAACAAATAAACATACTTCTTACCAGCAAGAGGGCCATACGTCGTTTCCACCTAAATGCACAAACGTTTCCGGAAATACTGACGTGACTTCCTTGAAAAACGCTTTCAGAAATTCAAATGTAGTTCCATTTGCAGGATTGAATGGACCCGTTTCACCAGTCGGCTTACCGTCCTTATAACACTCCGTTCGTAGTCCTGGATAACCTTTTTCCCATGACCTTGTGTGAGCTGAAATCAGTAACATAGGGATAGAATCAATATGACTTCACAAATCAACTTTTGGCCCAACTGAAAAAATGTTTTTGCGGAGGTCTAGAGATCAGTCAGACAGTAATACTCAACTGTTATGATCGAAAAATGACTAGGGTGAAAGTCATTCGGAGACGAAATTCACACTGTGAATACTGAACCTACCTGTTCAAATTAAAGAAGTATTTAGCAGTTCAAATGAGTCACCAAAAGACCAAGGGACAAAGAATTACATGGAACACGTAATGTGAGGGTAACGTTTGACCATAAGACACATCCACTAAAACCGTATCACTGTTTTTTGTAGCGAAATAAAAGGACTTCATGGCAGTACACAAGGTCCGGCCAGAGTCCTCCAATTGACCTAGTTAAAGGCAACTGGGCATAGCCGACACTATGTATTCAAAATTATTACGTCCAACCCTTGTGTCTGTATGGCCATCATAGATATTTAGTTCTCTCAGTAATGATTATCCTACGTTTCTTATAATCACTGTTATTTTTACCCTTTTTCAACCTAACTTGGTCAATTGTATTTTATTTAATCAACTTGTTAATTTTGCAATTATTATTACATTTTATTCTCTGTTTCAAATCTTACTAATTTGAACCTTGACCGGAAATAATTCTGGAACTTTCTCATCGAATTATTTTAAATGCACAAATGTAAAACCTAGTTGATGCGTTCATTAAAAGGAAAATTTTCTTTGTTCCAGCCGTCTTTTTAATGTGTCCTATGACCTAATGTGCATATCCAGTGAACTGGGATTTTCCAATGTGAAACATGCATAGTGTTCATTGACTAACAAATGCAACTCACTTACCAGGCGTGTCGAATTCCACGATCACACGTATCCCACGTTGACGAGCAAACTGCAACAACCGTTGAACATCCCCATTTTCATAAACTAACTTTTGTGGATCATATGCACCCTGAAATGTGACAAGGATGCACAGACAGAACTGATGTGGGAAATGTGAAAAACAAACTACCTTTCTAGAGAGTTCGGGATATGTGAATGAGTCATAGGGGAATGCAGTGTCATCTGTCATATGCCAATGAAGTACATTCATTTTAACAACGGCCATAATATCCTGAATGATTGTGAAGTATAAGTAAGAGAATAATGGGTAGGATTGACTTACAATGAATTTCTCCATCCCATCAACACTGATGTAATGGTCAGCAGTGTCCAGTAGAAATCCTCTGTGACCGTATTGTGGTGAATCTTCAATATTTTGTTCGTGTATTACAAGCTAAATGAATTGGTTATTGAGATGCAGAGAAATATGAGGTCATTATTATTATTATTGCAATTGACTCACAGCTCCCGATTCACTTCTGTACACTAGTTGTATGACAGTCTGCAAAGCGTGCAATACTCCCCATACTTCATTGGATTCAATACCAATCTTCCCATCCAGTATGCTGATTTTGTCTTCAGTGGTTATTTAGTTAGTTATGTATGCATATTATGAAGAAGAGAATTAAACCTACGTGATTCATCCATGTGTTCACTGGGCCAAAGTTTGTTTTGTGATTCATCACAGCCGCTAGTGATGATAAAACTTAGTACCTTGATGCTGCAAGATACTGTCTCATAGTCATTTGACTGTGGCGAACGTTGTATGTGCAGAAGACGTCTGTCGAATACTTTTAATGCTTCGTTGAGTATGTAACAGTATGGATAATCGTGTTCAATGGAAAGTAGGTTGGCCACACTACACAATGATTCACCCATCTCTTGCTTCAGTGGTCTTGGCACCAAAGAATTGACGGCGTAATAAGAAATTATGAGAAATATGGAGCTAATCAAATAAGTCATCTTCATGATTTTGAGTTTCTGAGGGCTTGGTGGAAAGATTGCTTATATAGCATAAATTTATATCCTTTACCATCGTACGTGTTTTTGTGTTTCTTCTCGTAAGTGTGTCTACATGCGTCTTTGTTGTATGATTTGTAAAGAGATTTTGTCATTCATGAAGGTGACTTGAATTATCCAATCAAAATATCTGCAATCTGAAATAGTCTCAAATACTGGAGTCTGAGGTAAGTGTCTATTCATCAAATTTTAACAATCTCATTGAGTGATTTCACACTGGCATATCTCATTACATTCCTTTTCAAGTAATGAATAAACAAACTGAACAGAAAATACAAATGGAGAAAAGCATTTGAAATACGAATCACAGGTAGAAACATAAATCCTCCTATGACTACATCGGTTTTTTGGTGAACATCTCGCGAATTGTACTTCATAGACTGTCAGTTACTACTAATGTATCCAAGTGTAGCATGCCATCGCAAATAATAAATTCGTGACTCCAGAACCGATAGACTGAGCAAATGTGATCTCTATGTCTACGGTTAACAAGCACCATTCCTATGGTAACTTATAACGTTACTTACAACAGAAACAAACAACTTTTCCGTGTGTCTAGTGTAGTTTACAGGTTCATGTGATCAAACTTGTTGATAAATGACGGGATGAGTTTACATGTACTTTAGAAACTGTCTGCATGTTATGCAAATTCAGAAGCGTTAAGTTTGTATATCAGAAAATCTGATTATACCTCTGGTAACCAAGTGAGACGTAAAAAGAAGCAGTATGTGTACAGGCATTGAATGGGCACTGTGGCTCATTCAGTCCTCGGGCATGACCAATTTCAGTTCACACGCAGCTCAACTGCCATACTGCTAGGCCATTCCCCAAGGGATAGCCGTGCAAACTCATTTTATATAAGTGATGCAGCTGGATGTACCTCAGTGACACTGACAAGTGGATCTCTGGCATACTAAATGTTTAACTGTGCGTCGGTGACACAGTGGTTAGGACTCTCGCCGACCATGCACATGGGCCGGGGTTCGAGCCCACGCCGGCGCACACCTGAAATCTATGGTCGGCCTGCGAAATTTGGGCTACCGATATCCATGCTGAAAATTCCATACTTGTACCAAAAATACAGTGTGGAATCAAGCTGTAAATCAAAAATCAAAAAAAAATCAAAGTCATTAGAGGTATACAAATGATAATTAATTGTGGATGATTACAGTTAGCGGTAGAAGCACCTCTGAAAACTTTTCCAAGATTTAGGCAATTTTTGGTGGAATACAAGCTAAACCCTTCTATATACGAAGAACTGCACAGAAGTCTATTTACCTAGATGCTGTGTCTCACACTAGTTTTCGACGAATTCTAACCATATGTCAGTTCCGTGACACGCCGTTCAATTTGCTGTATCAGCTAGGGGAATCACCATTTACACTCCTTTGTTTGCATGGCCGCCCTCTTTAATTAAAATCTGAAATAATTACGAAGAACCACCAGTTTTAGGCTCTCTGTTCATTTCACTTTAAATGGGGTTATGATTCCTGAATTACCTAAATATCGACTGACAGTGCTGCCGTAAGCCAAGCACTTTATCATGGCTTTACAAAAGAAGGCCAGCTAGTTTATTCATCGCCTTTTCGTTCGTAGATTGTTCTGTGTCCATGTTTATCTGATAAAGTAAAAACTTTGTCTGGTGGAAGTAATATGTTGTTCGATTGCTACTGTACCTTTACTGTATCTCGGTTTGAACCGAAGGTCCTAGTGTAATTTGAGAAACATAGCATGAGCTAGACTCTTTTTACTGAATATATTTAGTGTGACTTGTCTATGCTCGACATCGACCTTCAGTTAGTCCACAACACGTAAGCTAATAGATAATAATCAGCTGTAGACAGGCTGTAAACTCAGGCAGAAAACGTCCGCATTCGTTTCTGTAAGAATTGCAGAGTTCGCAACTAGATTGTCCTTGGATTACTCTACTGTACTCAAGATTACAGATACTTATGCCTTTTTAGGTGTCATGGTTATTATCGGTAATGTTAGAAAGCCTTGTCTTACTCCCAACTTCAATTCGGAATCTTCGCAAAGCTTTCAGCATTGAATCTCTTAAGGTGTAGCCTTGCCATATGCCTTGTGCAAAGACTTAAGCAATCTGTCGTTGGTTGTTTGACAGGGTGGCCACCTTTTCAAAAGGTAGGTGTCTTTCCTCCCTTTCCATGCGGTTGTAGTAGTGACGTCAAGTAAACTTCTGAGACCTCTGGATTCACTTCCAGCTTAGCAAGAGGAACTTAGGCCTCTAGTAACCATACAGCGCTCAAGACCTCTGCTTCAGTTTGAGGACCATCATTACTGGTATATCTTGGCTGTTAGGACAGTAGTGCTCTAAAGTGATCCAAACGTCGCTTCCCCTCTTTCTCCCTCTCGACCATCAGAATCCCTTCACTATCTTCCATTGGTTTCAACCGTATGGGTTTCATCCCGGACAGTGACACGGTTATCCTGTGTTATCTGGGGTCTCATACATGTAACTGCGCGTCGTCGGTTGAGGAGTGCACGTCCCGCAAGCCAACCATGTGGTCAGGGGTTCAATTTCCTGACGATGCACTCACAAACTTCGCTATGCCGGTAGCGAGGCCGGTAAAAGTGGGAAAATTGGGCGTGAGGTTAGCAACCCTTATAAGAAAACACAAACTATTATTTGTCTGCTTTGAGTACATTGAGTATACAAATATATCGCTCATTTTGAATAAATACCCAATTTGGATATAAATCAAGAATAAAATTCTTTGCCGCACATACCAAAGTTATATGAGGGAAATGACTTCACGCTTTATTTTTTCAAAGTCTTTGTAATCCATCTGTAGTGCACATTGTACCTTTGAACTTTTGTTTAAACTGACTCACCCACGGTGATCCACGTTTTACCTTTTGACTTGTGAGTCTTCCGTACGTTCATAGGTTCGCTCTCTTGTTGTGCTCTCTTTCTGCACACTCTCCGAGCCTACCTCCAGCAACGTCTGCAGATAAGTTGTACGACTTCTTTATTTATTGAATTTTATATTTCGTTGAATAAAATATAATTCTCCCAGGTACTCTTGTCACATCAAGTCTTTTTACAACGATACAGTTCGTCAGTATTTGCGCGTCGAGTAGTGTACTGCTAAGCTTAGCAGGTCGCAAAAACGGTGAAGAAGTTTGTAAGGGTGTTTAGAGTATAGGTCCACTCTAAGCCGTAGTAGAACTCTTACAAGTGGTGAGCCCGTTTTCACCGTTTTCCGCCATAGCTTAACGTGTTAACAATTCTTTTTACGTATCGTTTATTTTGTTATTTTTTTTCTTTTTCACGCACGGATATAAAGATTTGATTTGTTTTCTTTGTACTTATATTGCTTTTTTTATCACCTTGTTAATATTGTGTCCTGTGTGCAAGATGGCTGATGGGGGGTCATCAAGCTTTGACGTGGTGGCCCATATTGCCAAGCTATACGAGGAGATCTGTAGTATCCGACAGGAGATGAACTCCAGGAGTCGTGGACGCAGTCCCTCAAGTTCGCGCAGTAGTAGACCCTTGCCACGTGCTAGCAGCAAGCGCCGACAGTCCCGAAGTAACCAGCCTGGAGTGTGCTGGTATCATCGACGTTACGGAGCAAAAGCCCAAAAGTGCACTCGCCCGTGCACCTTCGATGTTCAACAGTCGGGAAACTAGCAAGCCAGCACGTACTGGCGACTAACGTCGCTGGCGAACCACTCTCATGTCGCCTCTTCTATGTTACCGACCGTAACACTGGGATACGCTTCCTAATTGATACCGGAGCAGAGGTCAGTGTAATCCCACCCACAGTAGAGGAGCGCAGGCGGCCAATGTCTCTTCAACTACGAGCCGCAAACGGTTCGCCAATTGCTACGTTCGGCAGGCGCTTTATAGATCTTAACATCGGTTTGCGTCGTTCACTTCGTTGGGTCTTCCTGGTGGCAGACGTTACCACAGGTATAATTGGCATGGATCTATTGCAGCACTACCAATTACTGGTAGATACAGGTAATCATAAGTTAAAAGATCCTGTCACAAACCTCTCCGTCAGCGGTATCGTCACACAAGGCCCAGCCCTCAGCCCGGTATATGCCACACCCACTAGCACTGGTCCTTATTCGCATATACTGCAGTCTTTTTCAGATTTGTTCAAACCTAGCAGCGGCCTGCCATGTGCGACTTCCAACGTCAAACACCATATTGTCACTACTGGCCCGCCAGTTTTCGCAAAGCCGAGGCGACTATCCCCAGAAAAACTAAAGGTTGTCAAAGCGGAGTTTGAGCATATGCTGGAAATGGGGATTATTAGGCCATCCAGCAGCCCGTGGTCCTCACCGTTGCACCTGGTACCTAAGAATAACGGTTTAGATTGGCGTCCTTGTGGCGACTACCGCAGACTAAACGCACAAACTGTTCCCGATCGCTACCCTGTCCCGCACATACACGATTTAACCGCCTCACTCAAGGGAGCTCGAGTATTCAGCAAACTGGACCTTACACGGGCTTACTACCAGATTCCCGTCGACCCCGAAGATATACCTAAGACTGCTGTGATTACACCGTTTGGCCTGTTCGAGTTTCTTCGAATGCCTTTTGGCTTACGGAACGCTGCACAAACCTTCCAGCGTTTTATACATGACGTTTTGCGCGGGCTTGATTTCGCCTTCGCCTATCTGGACGATATCTTGGTAGCTAGTCCAGATGAAGCCACTCATCAACTTCATTTGCAGACAGTTTTCCAAAGACTTGTGACACACTCCCTCACACTCAACTTGCCGAAGTGTCAGATTGGAGTCACTTCCCTGAAATTTTTGGGACATAGGATAGACAAAGATGGAATTTATCCGTTACCTGACCGGGTAGAAGCTATTCAAAACTTCCCTCTACCCACTTCTCCCAAGGCACTACGCACTTTTCTCGGGATGGTTAGTTACTACCGTCGCTTTATCCCACAGTGTGCTCATATCGTGACCCCCTTGACTGACATGCTTAAAGGGAAATGCAAGTCTTTGGTGTTCACTAAGGAAGCCTCGACAGCTTTTGCAGCTATCAAGAAAGCTATTGCTGACGCCACAATGTTGGTCCATCTAGATGTTCAACTTCCAATCAGCATCTCCGTAGATGCCTCTAATACTGCGATCGGAGCCGTCCTTCAACAGCGTATGGCTAATGTATGGCTACCGATTGCTTTCTTTTCACGTAAACTTACCGCATGCGAATCTCGATACAGCACATTCGGTAGGGAACTTCTCGCTGTCTACGCTGCTGTCAAGCATTTTCGTCACTTCGTGGAAGGCCGGCAATTTACGGTATTTACCGACCATAAGCCATTGACGTACGCCCTCCACACTACTTCAGACCGGTATTCACCGCGAGAATCACGCCATTTAGACTATATTTCCCAGTTCACTTCTGATATCCAGCACGTTTCTGGATCGGATAACGCGGTAGCAGACGCTTTGTCTCGCGTATGTGCTACGTCCGTACCACCAACCATCGATCTTCATAAAATGGCCGAACTCCAACTGAACGATTTGAACTTAGAACACCTGTCAAATAAAACCTCACTGAAAATAGAACGCGTCCCCTTGCTAAACAGTGAGGCAACTATACTTTGCGATATGTCAACTGGTACTCCTCGACCGATTGTTCCCACGTCTTTACGCCGAACTGTGTTTGAGTCACTCCACAACCTCTCCCATCCTGGCATACGAGCAACGGACAAGTTGATTTCTGCGAGATTTGCGTGGCCCGGTATGAACCGTGATGTGCGTCAATGGACACGTGCTTGTGTGCAATGCCAACGTGCTAAAGTCACCAAGCATAACATCACGCCGTTGGGGACGTTTGCGACCCCAGACGCTCGGTTCCATCATATCCACCTGGATATAGTAGGGCCTCTGCCCCCGTCTAACGGCTGCTCGTATTTACTCACATGTGTGGATCGTTTCACACGTTGGCCGGAAGCCATTCCGATACCAGATGTAACGGCTCAAACCGTCTGTCGTGCCTTCATGGATGGCTGGGTTGCCCATTTTGGATGTCCCGCAACTGTCACTACCGACCGCGGACAACAATTTGAATCCACAAGCTTCAAAGAATTGTTAGAGATGCTGGGATGCAAACGCATTCGCACAACCGCGTATCATCCCGCGGCAAATGGCCTAGTAGAACGTTTCCACCGTCAACTCAAAGCTGCGTTGATGGCAGTGGACAACAGTAAGTGGACAGATTCGCTACCACTGGTCCTGCTTAGCATCCGGGCTACGCTTAAGGGGGATCTGCAGTGCTCGCCAGCTGAATTGGTGTACGGTACCACCATGCGTTTACCAGGCGAGCTAATCGCTCCCGAAACTTTCGAGCCAAATTTCCCGGATACCACCCGTTACGCTCAGCAACTTAAAAGTTTTATGCAGCGACTCCGACCAGTTTCCACACGCACTCAGAACCGAAAGGTTCAGGTTGATCGGCGACTTGATGACTGTACACACGTTTTCGTGCGTCACGACGCCATACGAAAGCCATTACAACCACCGTATGACGGGCCTTTTAAGGTCCTTAGTCGTAAAGATAAATTTTTCGTTATTGACCGATGCGGCCGCCCAGACACTGTCAGCATAGACAGACTTAAAGCGGCATACACTGAAGAACCTTCACCCTCCCCATCGGCTCAATCAAATAGCCCCACTGAACCTAGTCCTTGTCCAGACTCAACTACCTCACCTCCGGTGGTGAATGATGATTCTCCTACCGTCACCAGTAAGACCCCTGTCACACGTGCTGGTCGACGTGTTCACTGGCCCAAGAGGTTCGTAGAATTCTTTCACTGAACTAATCCATAGGTAAGGCTACTAGTGATTTTTTATTCCTTGTCACAATTTCTTATTCAATTCTGCTATATTTAATCTATTTGGTCCCGCTTCTGGGAGTAGTCGTTTTAACCCTCACTAATCCTTTTAATCTTTATCTCTCGTTACAGAGGACCAGCATCAGTTTGTTTTTACCCCTAATTTTTCATCTCAATCTACTCGCTAGATCAGTTGGCTTCTCATGTCATCTTGTAACCCACACCAAAAGAGGAATTATGAACAGTATATTACCTTTCACTGCCCATTTTCTTCCAAAAAAAAAAATTAATTATTATTAAAAAAAAATTTTTATAAAAAAAAAAATATTAAAAAAAAAGAAAATACAAAAAAGTAAAAAAAATGTAAAATAATAATAAATAAACAAAAAATTTTTTAAATAAAAAAAAGATTATTTAAAAAAAAAACTTCCATTGTATAGTTAAATGGACAGATATACATATTTTTTTGCGCATAAATGCTTCACTTCTATGCTGTACATAGTAATCCGCTCAATTTATTTTCACAGCCTGTACTATATTCCTTCGGGTTTATGCCCTCCTGCAATTCATTTATTTTGTGAACCGTACTTATAAACATTATGCATCATCTTAGTTATGCACTTAGCAACATGAACAAAGTAATTTTGGTAATGATAACTACTCATAGCTATGGGTTATGTACTAACTTCTCTGTAATTTTATAAGTTCTCACAGGGTAGAAACTTCCTTTGTTTTATCTCATTCTAACGTACTACTTCCAAGTTGCACCACTTTTCCTCGCATTGATTTCGCACAAGCTTTTGTAGTACCTTTACACCGATTTTGAAATCTTAACCTTCTTTCCCATTTTCTTCTGTTGTTTTTTTTACCCTGCTCCTTATCATACGCTGGTATAATGATTGCCTTTAACATGACTGCTAGGTTCTGTTGAAGCGGAGGAA